GGCGTCTCCAGAGAGCAGAGGGATCTGCGGGGGTGGGCTGCACCACGGGCCTCAGGGTGTCTGGCTGCACCAAGGCCCCTGAGGAGACTGGGCTTCTGCAGCCCTGTGGCCTGTTCACTAGAGGCCTGGCCAGGATGGCTCAGCGGACTGGTGCACTGCGGGTGCCCTTGGGTGGGGCGCTCCAGGCCAGGGGACCCCTCTGGGATCACCTGTCCAGCTCAGCCTGAGAGGGGGAGCCGTGAGGGGTCGCTGACGGCACCCTTCCGTTCCTCCCACCCCTGCCACTAATTATGTAAACTGATGAAGAGCTCCCAGCCATCCCCAGGGGCGGGTAATGGGAGTCAGCTCTCGGGAGCAGGGACGCAGAGGACGGCGCATTAGGCGGGGACTTGGCCCCCTCCCGGCACCGCCCCTCTGGCCACGCCCCCACCGACCTGCCCCTTTCCCTTCCTTGGGCACGCCTCCCCTCCGCCCCCGCCCCCCTGAGGCAGCTTTGCCAGTTTTCCAGAAAGAACAAGATTATTCCACCTCCTTCAGATTGAGGAAGGCCGGGAAATCTAGCCGGGGAGGGGAGGGGCGGGGGGAAGAACCGGAAGCCAGCCAGTGCCACACAGGAGGGAGTGGTGGGGCATCGATGCCCGCATATGCGTGGGGGCACACGCACGTGGGGGGCACTGGCGCGCGCACACGCACGTGCACGCCTTCTGCATTGCAGGGACTGCTGAGGTCGCCGGGGGTGGTCCCGCCCGCTCTCCCCGCCCCCCACCAGGCCCAAACCAGCATCCTCCCACAGAGCCCCACTTGCTAGCTCGGCGCCCCCTCTGCAGGAATGTATCCCAGAAGGGAGTCCCGCCTCTGCCCGGAGGCCCCTTCCCACACCCCCTGAGGCCCCTCCTGCTGGGGGAGTCCGTCCTCAGACCTTCTCGGGGGCATGGATTTTGAGGGACATCAGGGAGTGGGGACCCCTCCCACGTGACAGAGTCCCCAGGGGCAGAGGAGCCCCATGTTTCCTTGGTAACCACTGCCAGGGTCTACCCCAGAGCTACGCCCAGAATTACCCCTGGCTCGGCCCCCTCCCTGCAGGTCCTGCTGGAACAGAGGCGTGGCCACCTTGGCCAGAGCTTCCTCGGGGCTGGTTCTTTAACGGGGTTGGAGGGATGTTGGCATCGCAGCCCGGGTTGAAGAGCCTGCCACTGAGGCAGGACTTCCGGGACGCCTCCCCACTCCTCCAGGACCTGTATGGGCCAGGCTTGGAGCAGAAGCTTCTGTAACTATGGATCTTGGCAGCTCTGGGGAGGGGGGTGCGGGGAGCTGTTTGGGTGTGTTCCCAGCACGCAGCGCTCCCACGCCTGGTCCCCTCTGCCAAGAGGCTCCAGAGGGAGGGAGGAGAACCCTCTGATCACAGCTGCCAACTTGTGCAGCTGTGAGATCCGGAGCCCAGGGTGTTGGGACTGAGGCACGCCGTGACTGGGGTGCCCAGAGTGTTGAGCCAGGTGGCCCCACCTCCTGGACGCTGCAGAGCCTGTGACTCCGGCCTGGTGCCTGCAGGTACCTGGGACTCTGCATCCCGAGGGGCAGGCCCATGGTCGGGTGCTGCCTGCCCTCCCAGGTGACAGGACCACTCCAGGAGGAAAGCAGAGCCCTTATCAAGCCTTGATTTCCCTACCTTTGCAGTTGACGGGTGGTTCCAGGGTGTGGCTTTGCTGGGGCACGGTGGCCTCTGGCTACACAGGAAAACACCCTGATCACTACAATCCATTTTGACTCAGGGCTTCCGGAAGGGAATCTCATAAGAGCCTCATCTTTCGGTCTGAACCTCTGACCTTGTGTTTAGCAGCCCAGGGCTTGTCTCCCAGCCAACACCTCCAGCGCACCTTCCTTGAGGGAGGGGGCCTGAAAGAGGTGCTTTCTCCTCTGCCTGGCTTATTGGCTATCTGACTGAGGGGGAAGTGAACTAGACTCAGCTTCCAGAAGTTTCTCTCTTGTTTTTTTTTTTTTGACAAGATGTCCCTCAGTGGCCTGGCAGGGCTTGTAGGCTTACCAGCTGGGGCTCTGAGGCTCCTTGTAGATCTGTCCTCTAGGTGCCTGCCCTGCTGCCCCCAACACATACACACACTCCCACACACACACACACACACCTACACACAGACGTATACACATTTCATACACACATTCACATATACACACGCCTATACATACACATTCACACACACACTCATATACAGATACACTTGCACACTTCACAAACCTACACACTCACTTCATACATACATTCCCACACTCTCATATTCATTCACTCACTCACACATACACATGCACTTATACATACACTCACACACACACTTCCCCTTCCTCTGTGTTGGGCATAGCATCACACACACACACATATACACACACCCTGTGTGTCCATCACTCTCCCTTCTCTGCACCAGCCCCCCCAGGCAGTGCCATCTGTTCCCAAAACTTCACAAACAAATCTTCTCACTGGGGTGGGGCTGCAAGGGGTGGGTGGGATCCCAGAGCTGGGTCCCTGGTGGGGCTCTGGCTCAGGGAGGGGTTCACCTGAGCTGAGATGTCTCGCTGGCCTGGCTGCTGGACTGGCTTGTCCCTAACCGGCTGGCGTGGCTTGTGTAGCACAGGCAGTTGCGGTGGGGGAGTGGGGTGCAGGGGGGCACTGAAGGTCAGGACATTATGGCCTGAGGGCTTCCAGAAGGTCCTGAGATGTGGTCAGAGCCCCCAGAAGCAGGGCTGAGTGGTTCACTGAGGGTCACTAGGCCTTTTCTCTTGGAGACAGGTGAGCCCCGGCTTCCACTGGTGGAAGACCCCGCCTGGCCCCAACCCTCACCGATCCCTCCCATTCTGCAGTCTGGGCAAAGTATACCTCTGCCAGCTTCCAGAACTTTCTCTTCCGTCTGCTTGGAACACCCTCCTCTCCAGATGGTCTCCATTCTGCAAGACCCAGCCTTGTGCACATACCTCGGGGACACCCATACCCCCTCTCCCATGCTTATCATGTGTGGCAAGCTGGCCTGGTCCCTCCTGGGGGCAACAACTGCCTTCTTCCCTCCGCAGCTGGTGGACCCCCAGTGCCCACACCCAGGGCCTGGCCTTGACCTGAAGGTGCCCTGTCTCTGTTCCTGGTTCATCCACCAACCTGGGTGTGCCCCCCCAATCACCGAGTCAGGAGGAGACAACCCCACAGAGACAGAGGACTGTCATCTGAGGCCCAGGGGGCCACCAGACAGTTATTTTCCCAGGACTCAGATAATTGAGTAAATTGGCTAATGAGCAAAGGAAATTAATTGCGGTTTTGAAATAGCGTGTTTTCCAGTGCCGTCTGCTATGGCAGAGGGGCTGTATCCACCCTCAGGGACTGCATCCAACTCCTGGGACCTTGCCGGCCAGCCCAGTCTGCTGGTCCCCATGCTCCCACTGGGGTGCCACTGGGGTGTGAGGGGGAGGGGAGAGTGCTGCTTTGGGGTCTCTTTGGGGGCCACCTGGGGCAATAGAGGGGTCAGCAGAGCTGGGGGGTGCAGGCAGCAGGGCAACTACAATAGGGAGGTGCATCCTTGGGGGACCTCATCCTGCCCCCTACCCCTCCCTCCTTCTCGATGCCCCTTTGCAGCCCTGACACACTCACTGTCCAACCCTTGCCCACCTGGGCCCTGGCCTGGCTGCCACAGCAGCTGTCCTATGGGCAGTGGTCTGGCTGTCTGAGGCCTGGGGGTGGGGACTGTGGCTGGGCAGGAATTCGTCCTGCTGGAGGCTCTAAGGGACCCAATTCAAGCTCAGAAACAGAGGAATAATCG